ATGTAATTCTTCTGGGGTAATTCTTCTGAGTTCCCAAAATAACCTATAGTCCATCAATGTATGACTCTAATTAGGGTCATCATTCATTGTTAAATTATTTTAAATCATCACATAGTCATAGAACATATGCATGACCATGTTATAACCTATGTAGTACTGAAGTTAATTACATCATTAAAATATAACGACCACACTTACCATGTATAACAAGGGGTTGCTATCACTTCACCTGATATATACTCCCAATCCTTCCACATGCATGGACAACTATCAGGCACATAACATTTTCCTTTATGTTCCGCCATCCTTTGAAATAATAAAAACATAAACGTAAAGAAATTAACTATCCTTATATATTTGTAATCTAACTTTTGTTCTAGTTGATTCAATGGTCAATGGTCACAAAGTAGAGCAGAGATAGCTTTTTAATCCTATAGGGTCAGAAGATAAATATATTTTAAAACATAAAAACAGGAAAGTTGAATTTGGAATCTTTACACATAGTTTTATGGTGAAATGGGGAAACAAATCCACAATCAGGCTGCAGCTGATGTTTTGGTATTTTCAGGCTGCCCCAAAATTCTCACAAAGAGTACTTCCTTGAAAATGTGTCTATCCATTTGAGGCCTCCAATAAATTCTTATCTAATAGATAAGCCAATAGCTTATCTATTAAATCTACCTAAAAGAAAGCCTATAGCACTGCTGCTGAAATTTCTTGGCATTCAGGGTAGTTGGGAATAAATAAAAATAATACAATAGTCGGAAAAAGATACATTCATCTGATCTTTGAATAAACTGCTGCACCCACGCTCTGACTTTTGGTATCACTTACCCAGGGGGACAGATGCAACCACTCAAACATGGTGGAGAAGGTGTACAGGTAAAGTTCATAGCAATGTTTGTACATGTTAGTTCACAGTTTACTCCACCTGATGGCAAGCCAGATACATGAGATTGGCAGTCATAGTAGATCTTTCCATCAGGACATGAATGCACTATGGATATGAAATGCAAATGATATATAATCATTTTATGTTTATATTTATATTTCCCATTAATTAAACTTAATGTTTATGTTTGCTGTCTAATACTGTACATTTTCAGTAATATGCCCTAACTGAATATCCTTTTAACTTCATATATAGTAATAATTTTTAAAAGATTAAGCATTCTTCAAATTGAGTTCAATTCTTCATGGTCACATTTGTGAGTCATCTAGGATTTTTTCCATTTCAATTTCCTAGCTAGCCTATAGCTTTGGTTTCTCTGAAGGCTCCTACCCAATACTAATCAGACCCAACTTTTTTTAGCTTCTAAAACTAGATAAGGTCAGTCAGAGCTACAGTCATTTTCTTAAATTGTAGATGGCTAATATTTTGTCTGTTTAAGGCAGATAGAAAGACTGTAAGGCTAAAAATAATGGCTTACACAAGAGCTATGCAGAAAAGGCTTTGGTAAGCACAGTAAGATATATGGGTACAAATTTTAATCCCTTTTTTGGAAGTTGAACATCATTTCTACAAGTAACAAAAAAGAAAGCTGATCAAGACATATTTGGTAATTGTTATTCTAAATGAGTCAAGAAAGTTACCTGCAGGGACAGCTGCTGCTTCATTGCATTTCATTGTTCCATTTAGGCATTGGCTGGTCAAAGAAATTTTTTTTAAAAGTTTAATAAGAAATTATAAAAGCCATGGCCAATTTTATAGCTCATAGAGTATACATCTCCTTTGCAGAATCTTGCTCATATTTTTGTTTTAATGGATGTCCCATCATTTGAACCTAATGAATACTGATTAAATTAATTATATATATATTGATTAAGTGACGATATATTAAAATAAGCTACATTTCCATAGAAACATAAACAAAAACACTTTTTCCTATGCTTGGCCAAATATACCAAGTTTAGTGGTATGGTACTAGTAATCATACAGAGAAGTGATTAAGAAAGATGCATCCAGAAAGCAAAACAGGTCAGTATTTATTCTTCCATAATAGTTTACAGTTTTACTATAATATTAAGTAAGAAAAAGCAAGACATCATTTAGGAAAACATGCTAAATTTATATAAAGTTAAAACAGGCCTGTATATAACTCAAAAATTAAATACACAAAACATCAATCTACAAATTCAGTCAAAATGAAACTCTTGATATCAAAACTTACCATGACCCTGATGGTGTGGGCAAAATTTCTCCAGGCTGAAAACTTCTGCCTTTATAATAACATCGACAGTTAGCCCTAATTTTACAAAAACATATTTATTTGTTGTTATCCTGCCTTTTTTACTTTATGAATAACTCAAGGCAGTGAGTACACTTAATATTCCTTCCTCCTCTTATTCCCCCCCCCAAAAAAAACCAACCCTGTGGGGTAGGTTGGTTGAGAGACTATCAATGGCCCAAAGTCACCCAGCCAGCTTTCTGGTCTAAGGTAAACTAGAACTCATTGTCTCCCAGTTGTAGCCCTGTTTCTTAATCATTAGACTAAATAAAACATAATAGAACAGAATAATTCTCTGTGTTGTTTATGCCAGTGATTGTCAAGTGTGATTCATGGATCACCAGAGGTCCTCAAAGGGCCACCAGATGGCCCACTTTGCCATGTTCAAGTACCAAAGATTGTGTGTGTGTTTTGTCCCACTGCATCTCAGCCCAACCCCAGCACACAGAAACAAATACTGGAACAACTTAGCAAACTTGCACTAACATTGGTATTATAACAATGAGTATATGAAATAATTAATAGTTCTTAATGTTAGAATAATTTTTGAGTATAAGAGTACAAGACCTTTACAAATTAGAGATGTTAAGACATACAAAATTGCAGCCATGATTATCTTATTTACTACAAAAAAAATACTACCATGTTCTTAAGGAAAAAAGCACAGGAAGGTAGGTATTTACTCAATTAGGTGGCCTCCACATTTCTGAAAGTATATTTAGTAATTCACAACTGCAGAAAACAGGACAAACACTGATTAATGCTATGGCTCTCCAACGTGAGTTTAAACTCAGCCACTTCACCCTAATGTAACAGTAACAGCTTACTCTGCTCCACTATGTAATTTGGATTTTTGCCATGCACAGTCCTAAAATATTTTCAACACCAAAAATTTGTAAAAGTATAGATATGCTAGAGCTGAATCTGGCTTCTTTTGGCTGCATTGATGTAATCTTCTTGGTAGTTTTCCCAAGTTTCATTTATTTCTTCTGCTTTGTTTATTGATTCTCCTATCTAGCCAACAGGTCTAGAATTCAAATTACTCATGTAATTATCTCAGTGCTTCGCAATTTTTTTCCTTCATTACCCAAAACTGCTTATCAGAAAGTTCTCTCCATGATCTACCTGTTGTGATTGGGTAGTGGGTTTGTGTGTTGTTACCCCCCAAAACCCCACTTTTACTCAGTTTTGAATAATTTATTCAGGTTTGGGAAGCTCTGCAGGCATCAACTGAGGTTAGCTAGATGCTGCCACCTGCTGAGGCAAATTCTAGTAGGAGATTTTTTTAAGAACATAAAAACAGCCATCTTAGTCCAGTTTCTCACAGTGACCAACCAGATACCTCTGAGACAGATGACCCCCCCCCTACATCTGGGAGTACCTTTAAGACTTAAAGACTAATAGATCTCAACAGTACTGTCCTCCAATAATTTATTCAATTTTCTTTAAAGCCATCCAAATTATCTCCTACCATCATGATTTTGTGGTAATGAATCACACAGGTTAATTATATGCTGAATGAAAAACTGCATCCCTTTGTTCCTAAATTTAGTTATCAGCTTCATTGGATGACTTGATTCTGCTTTGTGAATTGGAGAGAAACATTTGCCTGGCCATAGCAATAGCACTAGCAATAGGACTTAGACTTATATACCGCTTCACAGTGCTTTACAGTCCTCTCTAAGCAGTTTACAGAGTCAGCATATTTCCCCCAACAATCTGGGTCCTCATTTTACTGACCTCAGAAGAATGGAAGGCTGAGGCAACCTTCAGCCCATGAGAATTGAACTGCTGACAGTCGGCTAGCAGTCAGCAGAATTACCCTACAATACTGCATTCTAACCACTGTGCCACCATGGCTCTTTTATACATGCAAACTTTTATACACCTTGATTGTGTTCTTCCTCAGTTGCCTTTTCTCTAAACTATGAAAGTCTCAAATGTTCTAGCCTTTTCTGATAGGGAAAATGTTTTAGTTGCCTGATCATGTTGGTTGCATTCTTTTGCATTTTTAATCTGAACCCTAACCCTTTTCAAAATGTGGAAATTGAACAGAGACATGATGCTAAACCTCACTGTTTCTTCCTCCTAAACACAGTCACAATAGCATGGCTTTGTGCTAGCTTAAAAATGCATTTAACTAAATTTGCTATAGCTTACATTGGCACGCAAAAATTAATAGATTCTTCAAAGTATTTTCCTTCAGGGCAGTTACAGCCTTCAGCGCAGTCATTATCACAAGCATCCAGAAGAGAAAGGGAAGAACAGGAGTGCTCACAGAAGGAGGAACATGGGTGATACAGCATTCCACTTCTGCACACTATTGCTATGGAGATACATCAAATTACAGGAACATCAAAAATTCTATACAAAATATAGCACAAAATCTTCTCTCTTTTTTTCTTAATCAAACCTACTCTAGGTTAGAATAGAATGCCCTCCAGACACTTTGCTTGAGAAATTGGTTACATATAATAGGTGGCAAACAAACACAGATACTCAGAAAACAACAGTTAGCAGCATGATGGCAGGGGAAAGTGTTTAATCACTAATACATGCAGGCAGCTTTTCTCCCATGGGGTCTCAGAGAAAAATCCTAATTTCAAGTTAGAAATATAAGTAATCAGCCCATGCTGCATTTTAAATCACCTAATTTGAAATGTATGCACACTCACCCCCATTCCCAGTACATCAACACCAACGTACATGTGCATGGGGATATTCATATAGATATATTTATTAGGCAATAGGAAGCTAAAAGTGTCAGACTTGTTTCTTCTTCTGTAGAGGTACAGTAAATTGGGTTAAAGCTATCTTAAATCAGCTACTTTTTAGTATACACAGTCTCATGCATTTTGAATATCTACTTAGATCCAACAGCTTCACCTTATAGACTTGATCAAGAAATAAAGGAACTCAGATCAGGTCATATCTGGTTGGTATTCTCATTTCTGTGTTACTTACCACAGTATGAAACATGAGATCTGAAATCTATAGTAATCCCATGCTTGCTGCAAATATAAGCATAGTGTGCAAAGGCATTGCACAAGCAACTTCTCCCACATTTGCAAGCATCAAAGCGACATAGCTGGTAATATAAATCTGGACTGATGTATATGTGACATGGAGCAAAGAGTTCTTGATTGATGAGATCACACTGGGATGCATATGCAACTATGAAAAATTTGACATTTGGCTTATTACATTTTATTAATTCAGTTTATTTAGATAGAAATCCAAAAGTAAAAGCAAAACCAAAAAAATATAATAATAGATACTACTCTAAAACTAGATGCTGAGTAAAATGTAATACATCCAATTATATCAATGTAGTCCCATTCCACTGACCTAAATGGGACTAAACCATAGTAGTAAAACATCTTCAATGACTATTTAAAGTAATGAGTAAACAAATGGAAAGTGTTGCTTTAAAACATCAGAAAGTAGGGAAAAATTCAGATACCAAACAAGAGTTTGGTAATCTAGTAATTACCAATTACAAAGAGTTGTAATCTAGTAATGCAATTATGATAAAATTTAGATTAAAAATCGCAAAATAAATGAGAAGTGTACCATTTTGTTGGTTAATGTTGCAAGGATCAACCACAGGAATGTTGACAGGCATGTGACATGCTGATGAAATCTTCCATGCATTAGCATGAAGTTGTGGAGTTCCTTCAATCATTCCTGATGGGGAACTAGGGGGGAAAACGAGAATGATAAAACAAAAGAATCAAGCTGTCCAGAAAAATATGCTTAATACTGGAATATTCTTTTGTCTTCTGAGATATGCCCATATGGAAAAGTTCTGTGCTAACATGATGGTTTTATAGATTGATTGATTTGACTTCATATTAATACCAAAAGAGGACCATGCTGTGTGAAACTTCAGCTGAAAATTTCTAGTTGTACTGTGTTGCATATGTTGACTTTGCCAGTTTCTCAGTCTATATTCTGAACTACTGCAAATGTCATATTCTTTGTAGAACTCCATGTACTGACTCAGTGTGTGTGTGTGTGTCTGTATCTGTGTCTGTGTATCTGTATCATATAGAGATGATAGATAGATAATAAATAGATGGATAGATGGGTGCTGTTTCGGTTCTGTGTCCAGAGCACCAAGTAAATCTATGATTTTGTCTTACCGATCTTAGAATTTTTCTCACAATGGCCCAGCAACAGGGAGGAAAGTCAAGAACAGCATTCCCTTACACCCAGTTATCTGGGGGATAATATTCTTCAATGCCAACAAATCTCCTGAATTTCACATGTCACCCCATCTCCTCTCTCCTGAGCTGATGCAAACCCCAAATCTATATGGCCACATCCCTGAGGGAAAAACACTCCTCTGCCCTATCCGGATTTCAGTAAGACAAGCCTTATCTTCCATTTAAATAAATGGTTCCAAATTAGCAATAATCGTAGCTTATTATGAGACTAATTATGTAGCCCTTTAGTACAATTTTATGTGTCCATCTGACAGAACACTAGAAGTTGAGTCATGGCAACTGGACTTGTTTTCTTTTTTGGTTTGAAACATTTTGCTACTTATCCAAGTAGCTTCTTCAGCTACTTGGATAAGCAGCAAATTGTTTCAAACCAAAACAGTTTGAAGTCCAGTTGCCATGGCCCAACTTCCAGACAATGCTGCCTGGATGATTGAGAATCTTTATCACCATCTTCAAGAATACTTTGCGTTTAGAAGGTTACATAAACGTTCTCTGCCTTTTAAAACTGCAATAATATAATCCTATATATGGTGCAGTATGGAAGACACTGTAAATACAACTCCTAAAAACAAAACTATGTCCATAACAAACAATTCTAATTCAAGACGTCTTATCAGAAATGAACAAATACATTAAAATAAAAATTGAAAAATATTCTTAAAGGTGTACCAAAAACAAACAAGGCAACTACTTTTGTCCAAGTTTGTAATGCTTCAATTGCTACTTTTCCCCCCAGTACATTCTGTTGACCATCAGCATAAGTCAAAGATTGGTAAAAAGAGTGCCTAAAGTCATTTTTAATTGCTATAATATACTGATAATGTCAGAGTGCTAGTGAAAAAGAAAACATGGAATTCCTTCCCTGCTTATTTGAAGTTTGTGTTTAAATTTATAACTTTCCTTGCCAACTGCAGTTTCCTTTGATCAATTAAACATTAGTTGAATTGTGCTGCTGGCTCTTGTCTGAGGCTGTTATTTTTGCTCTCCTTTAAAATGGCTTTAATCTGTTCTATCTGAAAACATTTTTATTGCCTTTTGTAATTTTAGATGCGTTTATTTTTTTTCCTTTACCTTATATCTACAGTGGGATTATTTTTATAAATGAAATATTATATCTGTCAAAAAAATATGGCTCCTTTGAATTTTAAAAAATGGTTAAACTTTTTTGTAACAAGGTACAGCCTGCATTTTATATTTTAACCAATGCAAATGACCAGAATTATTCACTTGTAAATCAATAATGGAGTAACTTTATAAATCCAACTCACAGAAAATCATCTCTCAGATTTCCATTATAAGTTCCACAGAGACCCATCGTTCTGCTCTTCCACTCAGCGCTGAGTTGAATATACACTCTTTTGCCATCTTTAGCAAACTGGATTTTTAAACCAAATTTAGTTTTTAACTGCACAAACAATGAAGACAGATTCTGTACTTCCATATATCCTGAATATAACAGAAAAAGAATTAAATTCTATATGCATACATAGATTCATACCCATTACACTATTCTTTTTGGGAATAAGCAGTATTACAGGTAGTCCTTGACTTTCAACTGTTTGTTTAGTGGTTGTTTGAAATTACAAAGGTTTTGAAAAACGTTGGTTACAATTGGTATTTGTATTTATGACTGTCACAGCATTCCCCATAGTCATGTGATCAAAATTCAGGTGGTTGGCAACTGGCATATATTCATGTCAGTTGCAGTGTCCCAGGATCACATGACTTGCTGCTTTCCTAGCTAGCTCTGACAAGCAAGTCAATGGAAGAAGCCAGATTTACTTAACATTCATGTGATTCACTTAACAACCACAGCAAAAAAACATCATAAAATTGGGCATGACTCACTTAACAAATATCTTTCTTAGGGACAAAAGTTCTGGTCCCAATTGTGGTCATAAATTGAGGACTACCTGTATGCAATGTGGAAAAAAGGAATAAGAAATAGCAAGCAAAGAAACTAAAAATATGAGAACAAAAAAGAGGAAAGGAAATATGGTTAAATCTTGTTTATATTCCCAAACCATTCACTATGCTTCATAGTTGTCTAGTCTTGCAAATCATAATTGCTTCCACCATGTTTATGCTTCAGTGTCTCTAGTTTGTTAATAAGTACATTTTTTTGTTTTTTAAAATCTCAGCAGTTCTGTTCAGCTACAAGTTTTCAGTCTTCTTCCTCTTGACCCATTCACTCTTCCTTTATATATTTCTTTTGTGATGTAATATTCATTTGTTCTCTATATATTGTCAAACCATTTCAATATACTTTGTTGAACTGGACAGCCATGTTCACTAGAACTCATTGTTGACTTGATTCAATCCATATCCATTCCGAACCCATTATTGATTCTATTTTTTACTTGTTTCACCACACATTCCTTTTTATTGCCCTCTTCCATTGGATTCTGCAGAACATCATGGGAGGTGGTTCTTGGTGGAGCTATACAAAAATCTGCTGTTATCCCCTCTTTTTCTATGGAAACATTGGGTGAGTATTTGACTTTTCTGAACATTCTTTCCATTCAAATGGAAACATTAATATATACTCAATTGATGTACATCTTTGAACAAAAACAGTTCCATTGTCTTATTGATTCTTTTGAGATTATCCATAACAAACATTCAAAATCTGCACATTTCAGCTAACACTTTATAAATCAACTGTTGAAAAACTGAATTTTTTGCAAACAGATAACTTTGCACTCATGACCTCATTTTCCTATAATAAAAAAGAACTAAAGAGAATTAAAAATGACTGTGATTTTCCCCAAAGTCTTTATGAACCTCCTAAAATGCAAGAAGCTCAGTACTTAATGCAGCCTCAAATGACTTTAAATAGAATAATTGCTTGCAGCTAATATATAATTCCTATATATTAAGTGAAACACTAGATTTTTCCACAAGGACAAGTGTGACATACTAAAGAATCATGACAAGAGAAAACTATGAAAAGTGTTTAATCTATTTTTGCTTTTCTAAACAGAAATATAAAACCGTGGACCATCATGAATGAATGAAATATCAATGGTGACTCTGTGATTGAAGTATAATACAGCAATTAACTGCAACAAGAGATGGCTTATAACTACAATATTTGTCCTAACTCAACTGTTTTGCCACATAGAATACTGTAAGACAACCAACTAGTTCAGTTCATGTCACCAATCAGGTCTAGCTATTTAATTTGAATCAATCCTTGACTCCTAAACTGAATAAGAAGTTTACTGAAGCTACAAGGTTTGAATTATAAATTCATTTTAATTCATTTAAAAGGTAGTGTTGATCAATTTTCTTTTTGTGAAAATATGTTCAGAACCATATTGCAGGAAACAGCTGCATTCATTGGAGAATCCTCTGGAAATCTCTGAGTCTTCATACCATGCTTGGACTAGTGGCTTTGTATCTGCTTTTTCCAAAAGACTTCAATAATATTTTGCTTTTATTTTTAAAACAATGGAGCTTGTTTGATCTCCAGCAAAAGGAGGAGAGGACTCTGTATTTTGCCCAATGCAGCCGGGCACAAGGGGCTGGTGGCAAACTACATGATAATACATTTATTTCTCAGAAACAGCTTAGTTAAATCAGTATATTAAAAGGAATTTAGGTACATGAGGATAATTAACTAATGAATAATAAATTGTATCTTACCATTTAGGGTGAATCCCTGGCTGAAGGAACTGTACTGTATTTCACCACCCCGGAAGAGAGTCACTTGCTTGCTTATGTCGTCTTCAAAAATTAGCGTCAAAGATTGAATGCAATCATAATCAATGCTCTGTATGAACCAAAGGAAGAGGAGGGCTGAGTCTTATGGGAAAAGGAACATATAGAGCAAATGTTGTTAATCTGTATTATATTCCATTTTTATTTTACTTTTCTCCTCACCAACACCCCAAAATTTATTCTTACTACATTTTAGATTAATCTTGAACTGCCTTTATGATTGTAATGTATATGTACCATCTAGCTAAGAATATTGAACAGTATAAGCTCAGACTGAAAAAGTAACAGCTAACAGTTATGCCGGCCTGAGACTTATGGTGGCCTAGAGTTCCCCAGGCCTCAGAGTTTGGAAAAGTTGATTTCCGTGACAGAGAGTGACATGGTGATTTTCAAAACAAAATGATGAATTAAATGCTAGTGTAAGGCACTAGTATAAGAGTTTTATGAGCTCTTGATAGGAGTAAAAGAAAGTTCAGTTTAGAATTATAAAGAAAAGTACAATTATTAATAAAGCAAAATGTCACTTCATGAAAATTGACATACACTGCAAATTAGAGATGCAAAATGTAAATGAAAACACAGCATAATGTACATAATACAAATAAGTAAAACAAGCAACTAAAACAATTAAAACTATTGAAACTGTTGAAAGAAAAATCTTCATCAGGGTCCAGTCCAAGCCGGGAATAAACAAAATGGAGACTGCTTTAGAAAGAAGGTTGTAGTTTATTGAAGAGCAGAGCCAGACAGAAGCATGGCTCTGGGAAAGCTGACCACATGTAACTGGGAGTGGTGGGGTTTTGTACCTTCTTGGGCTTTTGGGGTTGTTTCCTGTTCCTGTGGCATGAACTTTGACCTGAGGTTCAGTGTGCCTTTCTGGTATTGGTGAGTTAATCCTATTATGTCCTAAAGGTCATGTCTTTAGAGTTTGGGTGGGGTATGTAGATTTTAAGGTCTTTGTCTTTCTAATCTCATCACTTCAAGCTTCCTGGCTCCAACCTTTCTGAATAGGATTATCAAATCTGCATTTATAAAAGCTGGTTTCTGAGTTTCTGCTTGGGGCTGGTTTCTGTCTAAGATTTTTCTCCCATTATTACTTTGGGGGAATCTGCCTTTTTAAATATTTCCTTCTTGGGGGGGCTGACTTCCCACAAAACATAACCAGTTTTAATTAAAAAGCATCACAGCTAACTTTTCTCCCTCTTGGAACACAATCACTTCAGTTAATCAACTAAAATAATTTTAAAATAATTCAAATATTGCATTCAGCATATACCAGATTTTTAACCATCATTTTAAATGCTTGTTCAAATATTTTTATATACTCTGGGCTTCCAGAGTTATTGTTCCAAGAAAAGAGCACATAAAGTATCTAATAAATATCTCAGTCAGCTTCAAATGCTCTTATCTGGTTGGCAATATACCAAGCTGTTCAGACCTGTCACCAAGAGCATTTATCCGTCTAAGACACCTGGTCAGACTGTAACCAAATATGTAGATGCTTGTGTAATCATGCATGAATGAAAAACCCTGTAGATTTAATCACAGTAAAAGGATTTAATCAAAGTAAAAGGCACAATTGCTTTTACAAAGCTGGTGCTTACAGTTGAAACAAAACCCAGGTTCAGATCATACAAGACACTCAATATCAAGAAAAATACTGATTTTTTTTAATCACTAATCTTCTTAAGTAATTTTTTGGATTTCTTTGAATTAGATGTATAGGGATTTATTTATTAACACAAAATGTTAATTAAACTGCCAACTTACCTGTCCACAGGGACTTTTCTGTAACGTGAGTGTGAATTTGTCTTTCCCGGTGCCTTTTACCAGAATATACTGACAGCTCCCAAGAAAGGTATAATGGCGACCATCAAAAGTTGTGAAATGGGATTCACCAACAATTAAACATTCAGCTTAAAGATTGAAAAGTGTATTATTTTTTATTTTTTTATTTGATTTCAGTGCTCTTTGACTCCAACCAATTCTCAGAGCAACATAACTAAAAGAATAACATAAACTAAAGAGCAACATTACAACTGAATGGCAACATAAAAAATTAGTAAAAACAAATAAAATAAGAATAAATCCAAAAAGATTTACATGGTAGCTGTAAGATGGCAAACCAATGAATACAGACAATATTTCAAATAGGAGGGTCTCATCCACCCTATCTCAAGGCCTGAGAGAACAGCTGGGTCTTTAAGGCCTTCCAGAACACCTCTAGAGTAGGACCTCTCCAGATCTTGGGGGGGGAGCCTAATTCCAGAGGTAGGTGGAGGAGGTGAGTTTCCTGGGTTCTGAAAGATTACATTGTTTAATAGAAGGGACCTGGAGCACATTGCTCATACTAGCCATACAGAAACCATGGGAGATAGGCCACAAATAACTGGGCCATATACCATCTAGAGATTTATAGGTAATAATTAGTATCTTTCTTGAATTGAGTGGCAACCAGTGCAGCTTGTGGAGCAGAGGTGTCACAGGAGCATATCAAGGCATGTCCATCACTGCCCAAACTGCGTTCTGAACCAGCTGAAACTCCTGAGTAATTTTCAAGGGGCAGACATATGTAAACACTATTGCAATAGTTAAGCCTTGAGATACAATTACAAACAATTACAAATAACTTTATTACGGTCGTAGACCAGCAATAGCCATCACTTTTTACAATATATTATAATAATAATAATAATAATAATAATAATAATAATAATAATAATAATAATAATAATAATAATAATAATAATAATAATAATATAGTACTAACATTAATAGTAAATAATAACGTCCCGGTTAAGAAAATACATCAGGGTCACTCCCTAGTTTACGTGAGTGGATAGCCGATTAGTGTGTGAGTAAATATAATGTTCCAAACATTAGTAGAGATATCTCCAAAAAATTGCCACAAGTTGACGGCTATAGATCTGTAACCAATTTTTTTCTTGTGGACATTGCCGCAACACAGTATTTTGCCACTGCATGCGTGATAGAAGGGTTTGAGTCCTGGAGGAGAAAGCCTACATAAAAATTGTCTGCCCTCCCTGGCAATCTCTCTAATAAGAGGAGAATATATACTGTCCTATAAACTCGGTATAACTCACAGTTTAAGCCTTGAGATAACTAGGGCATGAGTGATTGTCTGAATCCAGGAGAGGACAGAACAGGTTCATCAGATGGATATTGAGGAAAGGCAACAAGTTGTGCACCACTCCAGAATGGGGAATGGCAATCCATTTTAGCATAATGATGGAAAATCCCCAGGCCTAGGTGGTCCCAACAGTCTTGGTAGGATTAAGCCAGATTAAGCCAGACTTGGTTTCTTTCCATTAATGCCCACATAGTCTCCAGGTACAAGACTTTGGCCCTGAGGCTGAAAGATATAACTGAGTATCATCAGAATACTGATGATCCTGAACCTCAAACCAGGGATGATCTCACCCAGTGATTTTATGTAGATATTGAATATCTGCATGCAGTTTCTAATATCTGTATTGCATAGAACCAAAGATAAATTAGAAACTATAAAGCAAATGTAAAGTGCCTTCATTGCCACAATGTATTGCTCTTCTAGCCTTCATTACACAATGTGAATTTTCTTTTATCCTTTTAACATTATTTGACATGCACTAATGAAAGCTTAGTTATTCCAAGACATGCCACAAGTTAAAGTTCAAGAGAATTTCAAAAATACTCTAATTTGCAATTCAAGGCTCATAGAAGCTCATTGCTAAAGATAATGTCCCTTTTTGAGTAGAGCAGTTCTTTAAGTCTCCTGGTGGTTTCATGGAGAGATCCATATAAGAAATGGATTTTAACAAATCAGAATTGTTTTTACGTTGTCTTCTCCTGTAATTAATTTGAGTTCTTGTCCAGGCTACAGCCTGGGGATTTCCAGATAGTCTCTTGTCTGATCCTGGTCAGATTTTCAAGATCACCCAAGAAGATATTTAGTCTTAGGCATCTTTCAAGATCTTCCATGCACTCAAGTAGTTATAGATTGCAATTGGAAAAATAAATGTACTTTTACTTATTTATGCAGCAATAAGTAAATGAATGAACAATCATTTATTTAACGATGGTTCAAAGTTACAATGGCCTTGAAAAAAAGTGATTTATAACCTGTCCTTGAAATTACAACCATCGTACTCTGCCTGCAGTCACATGAATGCAATTCGAATGCTTCGCAACTGGCCAGCATTTACAACCTGTGGCAGCATCCTGTGGTCACATAGTCATGATTTGTGACCTTCCCAGTCAGTTTCCAACAAACAATATCAATTGGGGAAAATGGATTTCCTTAATGACTGTATGATTCATTTAATGTCCATGGTAAAATGATTTGTTTTCAAAACTAACCCTTTTGGACAAGATTTTAATGATGGACAATATTGATTCATTTATTATATTTTATGTTTTAAATTGATTTTGCAGTTTACCTTCTCAGGTTTTTTGGTATATGTGCATATGTATACAAACACATATACACACATATTTAAGATTTCAGGTTAATAAATAAAAAAGACAAAGAAACTATACTTAAATTGAATACAGTTCTCTCTCTCTCTCTCTCTCTCTCTCTCTCTCTCTCTCTCTCTCTCTCTCTCT